CAATATTTGAACTTTAGAAAACAGAAGTGTCGATACATCTATTCAGAAATTTACGATACACAAAACATGCTCAAATTGAAACAGTGAATTTTCAAAATTTCAAAGTTTCACTGTTTCATGACTTTCATAAAAATCTGGATCTTGATCTATAATATCAGTTACGCTATCATTATCTGTTCTTTGAAAGCCATTTTAATTTTTTTGTGTTTAACATTTTTCAAAAACTTCATGAACATTTAAAGCTCAAAAAATAAAATTACCTAGCTTCGAAGATTAGATATCTAGAAAAATCAAAAAATTCGAGATCATGAAAACTTAGAAAATCAAAAAAGAAAATCTTTCATCGAAATTTCTCTGTTTCAAAAAGTAGTGAAAGTAATTAGATTTTAAGTATTTTTCTGGTTAAATTTATGCTTAACATATTTTTTTGGAACAGCAAAAAAACCCTAAAATTGCCGCTCAAAAAGCGTACGATAATTGAACTTTAACAGTCCCTACTCTTGGAACTGGAACAAAAAATAACCGTATTCTCATTAAAGCTGTTCAAACAGGTGCACTAACATAAGAATAATCATATTGAAACGGTAAAATTTAAAGTTTTTCAAATATTTTGACTTTTCATGAATATCATGAAAATCTTAACCTTGATCTGTAATATCAGTTAAACCATAATCCGTAGATGGTCTTCGAAAGAATCTAGAACCTTCAATTGTAACATTTTCAAAAACTTTCATGTACACTTAAAATTCGAAAAACAAAAACTAGGAATCTTCGAAAAATAGCTGTTTATAAAAATTGAAAAAAAGCAAAATCTTGAAAATCGGGATTGATCAAAATTTTACGGTTTTTTTATTTTCCATGAATTAGCCAATATCTCATTGAATCAGTGCATTGACGGTACAAGATTGTCAAAATATTGCATTTCAAAACTAATGAACTTTTAGAAGCAGCAAAAAAAGAGACCACAAAAAATTCTCACAATTCTTCTGATCCTGTGAGAACATTCTAACGAAGCAAGTGTGAGAATATAACACCTCTCTAACCCAATTTTTCATCCCAAAAAAAGAAAGAAGAAACACATTTGACCTCTTTTTCCTAAGTCTTTCTAAAAAGGATGCATAAAAGTAAATCAGAAATCACAAACGATGCAAAAAGAGCGGTATCAAAAAGTGTCAATGTGGCAAAAAAATATGGAAAAGTTAGAGAAGCAGAGACAAAATCTTTGATCTACTGTTCGAAGCGATAGACATTGAAACAAGTACACGCTGGAGAGAAATAGTGTGTAGACAGAAGAGAGTGGTAAGAGAAAAAGAGAAAGAGTGAAAAAGAGAAAAGGTGAGGTTGGGGTTGGTGTGGTGGTCGAGAGGAGGAGATGGAAAACGAAACGAAAAGGAAGAGAGAGAAATGAAAAAGAAAGAAAAAAGAGGAGAAAATTTGACATCTGGCACGTAGACAGAAAGGAGGAATAGACCTTTTCAATGTGAAGTTTTGAAGAAAATGAAAGAACATTTTTTTGTTGCTGGAGTCTTCCAGAAACATCAAAGTAACAAGTTTTGGTTCAGTAGACAATTGAAGATTAGAATCCCTTGAAAAAAGAGGAAGAAAAATTATAGATCATCATTAAAACGAAGATCACTGCTTCATTGAGTTTCTATTCATTGGTGATCATCGGCAGTTTTAATTCCTGCCAGTAGTAGAACGGCCATGAAATTTTTTAAAAAAGTCATAAAAATTGGAAAAATGAATTCTCGAAATTTCGTTAATGTATGAGCTACGGTGGTGCAAGTTGAGGCAGCCGAATCACTGTTACGTCAGAATTCATACTGTAACTAGATATACGGTTTGTCAAATTTAATTTGATTTCTGTAACAATCCGAAACAAAATTTGAAAAATACCGTTCCAAAAAGTCTGTTTCTTCCAGGTTTTCAAGAGAGACAATATTTCTATCTCGACCTCGTAAAATGAGAAAGGATTCATTTAACCACTAGCTAGGCTTCTTTGCGGAACCGGAAAAGATTTCGATTTGGGAAGAAAGTGGGACTATGAAAGTACAGTATACCCGTACTATTGAATACAAACACATTGGTACTTGGTTTCTTGAAAAATGATATTGAAAAGGTATTTTCAAACTGATGTAATTTTTTTTGATATTGTAGCTAAAATTGGAATCTATTGAAACATCTATTGAAACTCGAGACTTTAAATTCGTTTGATAATATTACGGTTGGTTTCAAGCGCCATATCTATTCGTGTAAATTTGTACGAAAAACATGTCCATTAAAAATTTTGAATTCCTATTTTTGTTTAGTATACTTTGAAATTTTCAGTCGCTTCTAACTTTTTGAACATCCAAAGTTGACATATTTCAAATCAAAATAAATGAAACTAATGAAATTTCGTTGCTCCGAAAGAAGGCTCTTAAGAGAAAAAACCTCCAAAAACGTTTAATGCATCTTAAACAAAAATCACTTTTTCATCTAGCGGATGTTAACAATTAGTCAAATTTATGAGCAGTGGCATTGTGCATGATGATCCAATTTGAAAAATCTAAGGCTCTTTTCACATCTACATAGTAGACCTCATAATTTTAGCTTCATCCAAATTGGTCCGTTTTCAAATAAAAATTGGTTGAAATTAATCTAGAAATGTACAAAAAAGTAATAAGATTTGAATAAAAATCTCCGATTCATCTGGTCGATGTATCTTACTACCGAAATGTCTGTAAGACTTCGTGATGTATGACATTGTCAAAAAACACAAAGCTTTTAAACAAAAATTCAAAAATCACAGTTTCAAAAAGCTACTAATTTTAAAGTTTACAAGGAGTGAATGATTTTTTCGAGTTATGGCGCGTTCAAAGTTGATTTCCAGGAGTAATTTCCTGGAAAAACGCTGTCCAAAGCTGCCATTGTTTTCCAGAGGCCTCCGCTTCGAGACCCGCCGTAAATCGACATGAATCAACAGGAAGAACACAGTCAAAACGAGTGATACAGTAGTTTACTGTTGCTGTAAATCTGGAAAACAATCGCAGCTTTGGACAGCGTTTTTCCAGGAAATTACTCCTGGAAATGAACTTTGAACGCGGCATTATGTTTCTGTAAATAGTTTTCAGGTTTTGATCTTGAAATTTGATAAAATGACTAACAAAACGAAAACAAACAAAAGGTCTGAAACATAAAATATTTTCAAATTGAAATGTTTAATCAAAACAGAGTAAAACTATGTTGAAATGAATCATAATTTCAAAATAACCAAGGAGAACTGTTTTGAGTCAACAAAAATTTGTGTTTCAAAAAGTTAATGTATGGTTTTGTCGTTTTAGTTGAAACCAGTATCGCATCGACTTGTGCAACAAAATTGGATTTAAATTAAAAATCCCAGTTTCATATGGTCCATATGAACTCTTGTCTGTTTTATTTATATTCGATGGTAGATTCGAATTGAAAAAAAATTCCCAAAAACATGGCTTGATTTATTGTTAAATTTGAAGTTTCCGTTTCATAAATTCTTCAAAATTTTTGGAAAATATTCCTTTTTGGTTGGTCACATATTTCAATCGACAAATACTAAAACATCAATAAAAACACCCTGAATAACCATGTAATAAAATCACTATGAAACTGAAACTTTAACTCTGAAATATGAAAAACTCGTTATTTTCTCATACTTTTGAAACATATGTTTCCCGCCAAAACAGCAGATGTGATGTTGCGCAAAATTGGATGTTTGTCATGTTTCAACACACATCTAAATAACACAGATTCTTGTTTTTGTTATTTTCTGAGTTGATGAAATAAATATATGCCTCCGGCATGGATGGACAGGTGGAAATTTAATCATAGGCTATTGGAAATTATGATTAATTATAGAAAATCATCTGTAAAAAAGACTTCCTGTTTCAAGGAAATGAGAAAAATAAACGCATAAAGCATTTTTCTAGTACAAACCGCGTTCTAAAACCAATTGAGGATAATTTTAAAGACGATGAACGCCGCTACCAACTGAGCTTCGCGGTCACAGGTTGTTTAATTTAGCTTAACAGGTACTTTCGAGCATACTGAAAAGGTTTCAGTTTTTTCCCTCGAGTTCTGAAACAGTAGGCAGAAAAATGATACAATGCAACCAATCGGTCTACTGAAAACATTATAATAATCTAGCTTATAAATAAATTGTTTGAAACTGTGAAATTTTTTTGTCATGGAAAGAAAAATTTGATGCTCAGAATCATTTTTTCTTTCGTTCTTTTAGCTAGAATAAAAAGTAGAACAATTTCAGATTAGGCGAGAATTCGAATTCAAAAATTCAAGTTTTTCAGAAAGTGATATGGAATTCTTCAAGTATGGACTACAGACATGTCAACATCTAAAAATGAATTTGAGTCATGTAAACCACAAGAAACCGCAATAATTTGACCTATGAATCATCGTAAAACCCGGAAAAAAATCTCAAGATTTTTAAGATGACAATCCAAGGAACATGCATACTGATAATTTCAAAAAGGTATCATTTTTGCGAAACAGAATTTTTTTAAAGCTAATTTTCTGTTTCATAGACCTCATTAGTTTAACTCTATTATTTTTTATTCACTTCCATTGTGTCCAGTATTGTCCAAATTTTTATTTCAGGTTTGTAATATGTACTACCTTTTCCGGGTGCAAAAAGTTCAAGTTAACTTATTCTTTTCGAAAATTCTCAAGTGGGAGGATACGCTTCACTGGGGTTCTTTCTTGCTGAGGAGCCAGAATGTCTGAAGGATTTAGAATGAAGGAAAAAAAAGGCAGATGAAGTGGAAATTTTTGAACTTTGGCTGGTTGGAGATAATTGGGGTTAGCTAGGGGAGATAATGTTATAATGACAATATAATGCAAGATGAAATTGAAACTACTATTTCACAGTGTATTTATAAACACTTTGAAACTTTGAATTTAAAGGTGGGGAGACATGAAAAGAAGTAATGTTCTCGAAATTCCGTTTGAATATGCCCCTCGAGGAGTTGAACTCATGACAGGTAGATCAGGGGTACAGCGCCGCTACCGACTGAGCTACGCGGGCAAAAGAGGAGCGCGCGCCCGATGGTAAACATATTCTGGCCCCAAAAATCCCCCGTAAAATCTCCTGTCCCCCCCACCATTAATAACGAATTATACAGATGAATAAAAATATGGTTATGAATATGATAATTTTTATTCAGTTTTCACAAAAGATAATTTTTCAGAATCAAATCACCCAAACCACTTTCTGTGGTAATTTGAGATGGTCATTGTAATATTTCTTTCAGATTAAAAAAAATATTTTAAAAAGGTAGATCCTCTCCTATCAAACCAAACAAAACAAAACCAACAATTGGAGAACTATGAAACAGAGAAAAAATTCATTAAAGGATAAGAGACACACGATTTTTCGGAAATTCTCTTTTGGAGTTACGGTATGCAGTGGCTATCGTAGTTGGTTTTACCGTAGCTCAGATGGTAGGCATCTCCAACTTTGGCCCGCAAGGCTGAGCTAGGGGACTGTAGCTGGCGCTTGCCGTAACCTCCAGAAATTGCACTGAGTCTTGACATTTTCAAGCAGTATATCTCATTTGAATGAAATCGTAAAAAAAGTTGTCAACTACAAAATTGAAGCTCTACTTTTGTTTAGTGTAATCTCACATTTTCAAACAAATTGAACAAAGTCTACTGTGTTTCGTAGGCATCCAAAGTTGACTAATTTCAAATTAAAAATTGATGGGCGAATTTTTAGAATTTCAAATGTTTACCAATTCGATGAAAACCAGTATCAGTAAGTACCAGTGAATTTAATTTTGAATCAAAATTTTTGACTTTTTAGAGTTTTTGGCAGAAAACCAGCATAGTAGAAATGATAGTAGAAATAATTTAAAATGGACAATAAACGTTGAACGTTAAACAGACTAAACCGAAAAATATTAGAAATTTTTCGCAAAAATGAAACAGAAAAAGTATTATTCAACAAAAGTTTTGGAATTTCTAGAGATTTCGGTAGAACACAAATGATATTTTGGAAATCAGCTTACTCGAAAATATGAAAAAAAGTGGATACCAATTTACCAAAAATTTGCCGAATTAACAAAAATGGAAAACTTTAGACAGTTTTGACAATAATGAAACTGGAAAAAAACATGTATTTGAGCGTTTTAGAGATCCTGGGGCGATTTTGAACCTCAAAAAACTACCTGTCATGAAATATCAGCAAATAAAATATTTTCAAATTCCATATAAAAATGATCTGAAATTGTAAAAAAATGTTAATTAGAAAAAGTGAATTCAGGGACATCTAGAGTTTTTAATGAAAAAAACAAATGTTTCAATGAAAAAAATTCAGATCTGGAGGGAATTCAAATTGTCTCATTTTACAAACCCAGGGCGAATCATGACCGAACAAACAAAACAAAAATGAAATCTACTATTGCAGAGTTTGGAAACAGCAAACAAAATTATTCAAATTTTCAGAAGAAATTAAGTTTTGAACCCAACCACAATGATCAACAACTTTTCAAAAAGTAATCATCACATGTCATCCAGAAAATTTGAAAATCGATATAATTTGTATTTCCTTATCACCTTGTCATTTCACTTTTTGATGTCACTTGTCTCAATTATTATCACATGGTTAAGAACAAGACAAAAGAAATAGTGTGGATTTTTGAGAGAGTGTTCGAGAATCGAAAGATCGAGTACATTGAAATTACGGCGATAATGAAAAGAGAGAGAGAGAGAGAGAGAGAGAGAGAGAGAGAGAGAGAGAGAGAGAGAGAGAGAGAGAGAGAGAAAATGAATTTGTAAATAAGGAAAGGCGGAAAGAAACAATGAATAAATGAAGAAGGAGAAGAAGAGGTGCTTTGAATAATGAGAAAAACGACTAAAAGAGAGTAAGAGAATTAGTGAGGCATGTTTTGAAAAAGGTTATGAGATGGGTGTACTAAAATTGTACTAGTTGACAAATTTATGATATTTCTTACAGGAGATATTTAAGCTCATAGTGCAAGCAAGTTATATCAAAGGTGCGGTGTTCCAGTTAAAACGATTAGCTAGATTTTTTTCTCGTTTTTAACTTAGTCCGTGATGGTGAAGATATTGAAAATTGAATCTTCGGAAACTTAAAAAATAATAACATTTTCAGTTTCAGTATAGTTGTAATTACAATTTTTGTACTAACTATACTAATCTCTAACAAGGGTTTCAGACACCGCTTGAGAAAACTTGGGTCGTTGGTATTTTCAAACATGCTGATTACAGTGCTGTTTTCATTTTTTGCCCCTTGCCCCTCACAAAAAAGTTATGGGCTTTTTAAGTGATTTCAGTACTAATTTCTCACTTTTGGAGTGAATTTTTGAAAGGGTTAATGAGAGCTTTTCGGCATTTTTTGAGTGTGAATCATAATTTTAGAAACTTCTCTACAATCTGAAAAAGTTTTCTCATTGTTCAAAAAAATTTTTTTTGAAAAAATTTTGCCATGGGTACCTTTGCAAAATTTTAAAATTTTTCGAAATTGTTTAAAATGTGCAAAAATGAATTCTATACGCTTAGAAATGATAAAATGAGTCTTTTCACAAGATTCTGTAGTCTATATACATTTTGAAATCCCAAATAAGTGATTTCTTCCGAAACTTGTATGAATCGTAGTCCTTCGAAAATTACCCAATAGCACTCAAATCTTGTGAAAACATAGATTTACTTACTTCCTGACAGATTTATTACTGTTCTGCACCCAATATGACCAATCGGGGTACATTTTGTAGATGAGACTTCCCAGCAGTGCTTCAAGAAGTTTTCAGAAAACATTTTTGGGTATTTTTCGAAACAAGTCAAAAATTGAATTTTTCTCTCAAAATAAGTGAAAACATGATTGAAATTTTTGTCAAAGATTATACCACATTTTGAGAGTTCCAGAGAGATCAGAAAAAAAAAAACAAAAAAATTCCGGGAAAGAAGGATCGAACCTAACCCTAGTCAGTTACTTCCATCCCTCTTCACCACTACACCACTCTTCGCTGTTTCTCACTGCTTCCTAAATTTGTATAAGAAAGGGGGAAGAATCACGCGTGAAAGAGACGTGTTTTCAGAGGTATAATTTCAGACGCGTTTTTTTTTCAGCTTCTAGGCACCGAGGGGCACGAAAAAAAGTATGTCGTTATTCACGATGTCCGAAAGTATATGTGTACCAAATTTCAAGAAATTCTCAAGCGGTGTCTGAAAACACCTCCCTTGTGAGGGTTGTTTATAAAACTTTTTTTAAAGATTCATGATTTTAAAATGGAATCTTTTGTTTTGAGATGTGTAGCAAAATCGGGACATTGAAATAAAACTGTAGAAAAACATTTAAAAAATCGCTTCCAAACATCAAAAATTGGACGTTTCTGAAAACTTCTGGAACGAAAATTTTGAATTCCCGCCAAAACTCAAAATAATAGACCAACTTCCGAAAGGAGATAGAACCGGTTAACGAGAGAAACTTTTTCCATAAACTTCAAGAAATTTTTGGAAATTAATGATTTTTTGCCGGTTAAACGATTTTTGGTGATTTTTCAAGTTTTTTTTTAATTCCAGTAATTTCTTTTTTTTTTACTTGTTGCACAAAAGATAATCATCTTTGTTGACAACCGTTCTTAAGGCAAATTCGAAACTTTTAAAGATTTTGATTGTGATTTCAGTGGCCTATTATCAAATACACTGGTTTAGAAATTGCTGATGAAAATTCAAGGTGTTCCGGTCTTTCTGGTGAACGAAAAAAATTTTTGTGAATGTTCAGCACTCAAACGCAGTCAAAAAACGAATTTTGTGAAACCGACTTTTTTGTTTTGGTAACACCTGAACTCATTGATTTTCCAAAGTTGGTACAGTTTCTCCAAGAAAATAAACATCTCGATTTTTTACGGTTTCAGTATGATTGTAATTAAGACCTTTATTTTGAAGCTGATGACAACAAAAAATGGAAGAAAATGGACACCGATTTCATATCTCATCAGAATAAAATCTTGCAAAAAAGTTGTCAACTACAAAAATGAAGATCGAGTTTTGTTTAGTATGATCTCAAATTTCCACACAAATCGAACAATTATGGAATACTTTTGTAGGGCTCTAGAAGTGTCGGCTGGGCAGCTCAGGGCACCGTAGCTCAGGTGGTGGTGACGTGGCGCCAGTGTGCCTTATCGACAAATGATTTGTCGACAAACACCCTTTTCGACAAATTTATCGACAAATTTACCGGTAAATTTATCGAAAAATTACCGACAAATTGTCGATAAAAACAACATTTATCGACAAAAAATGCTATTAACCACCGGAACTACTTGTAAAAAACCGTATCGTTACCATTTTTTTCCTACGACGTCTTGGATGTTGACCAAACTTACCCATGCAAAATTTATCGGCCATCTGGCTTGGTAGCCTAACTTTCCCAAAATGAATTTTTTAGGCCACATCTTTTTTGCCTTAGAAATGATCTGATGTTCGCCTGGTTTGTTTTTTAGGTCATTTTAACATGGTGGCCTAACTTTCGCAAGTTGACTTTTCTAGGCCACCATGTAAACATGACCTAGAAAACAAACCAGATGGATATCTGATCATTTCTAGGCCAAAAAAGTTGGTGGCCCAGAAAACTCAACTTGCGAAAGTTAAGCCACCATGTGAAAATGACTTAAAAACGCACCATGTTAACATCAGATCATTTTCAGGTCAAAAAGTTTGGTGGCCTTGAAAATTCATGTTGGGGATTCAAAATTATGCCACCAGGTCAGATGGCCTAGAAAAAATATGGAATACGATTTTTTACAAGTAATTCCTGCGGTTAATAGAAATTTTTGCCGATAATTTGTCGACAAAATTTTGTTGATAAATTTGTCGATAAATTACTTTCGACAAATTTACCGGTAATTTGTCGACAATTTATCGACAAAATTTTATCGTTTTTTATCGGCAAATTTATCGATAATTTGTCACGTAAATTTGTCGACAAAATCGGAAAATCTTTGTCGATAAGGCACACTGCGTGGCACCTACAACATTGAGCCCACGAGTTCAAAAACTTGAGGAGCTTATATAAACGAAACATCGGGAAATTGTTTTTTTTTGCATTTATCCCTTCCTTCTAAACAGGAAGTCATATTTACGGATGATTGTCTAGTTTCAAAAATAACTTTTTCCAAAAAAAAAAACATTCGGTGAAGTGGGATTATCTTCAAAGATTTCACTATGTTTCAGCAAGATCAGGCACGCAAAAAAAAACGAGAAACATCAAATGTACTTGATGACTAACAAAAGTTTCACAAGTTTCATGAAAAAAAAGCTGCCTATAGTATATTCCAACAATCATGTACACATTGAAAAAAAGCGGGAATATTGGGATGTATAAACTATAAAGATATTAAAAAGGTGTTTCTGATGTGTGTGGCTACAAAACATGAAAAAGTTTTTGAACGAAGAAAAAAGAGAGAGGGAGCTCGAAACTGATTGTTGGAGGGGGAGCACAGGCCGAAAAACGAACAAACATAGACAGATAGGGGAGGGAGGACGGAGATAGGAAAAGGAAAAAAAGAAGGGCAAATAATGACACAAAAAAAGTTATAAATCATAGAGGTGAAAGAGAGAGGTGGAGGAAGGAGTAAAGGCGGGAAGATGGGTTCAATGAAACAATTGGAACTTTTTATGACGTATCCCAGTTGGTAAAGGTCCTTCGAGGAGTTGAGCTTGCGGACAGTATATTGGACGTTTCATGTCACTACCGGCTGAGCTATGCAGTCGGGGATGACCGTTGCTCAGCGGGTAGCACCACGGCACCATCAGAGGTAAGCCCACAAGTTCAACTTCTCGAGGAACGACGTTTTGAGTGATATGTACTTGTTCTACCATTTTGAATCCCCTGTCTATAAATTATCAATTTTGGTTGTAAATTGGAGTATTACAACCATACTGAAACTGTAAAAATATTCCGAAATTTAATTTTATTTCCGGAAGCCTTACCAAAAGAATAGTTTACTTCTAATTGCTAAGAATACCATCGAAATGATGAAATAATCCAGTTTCACAATATCCATTTTTAGTCAATGTTCGCTTTTTATTTGAGTGTTTAACATTCACTGTTCCTGGAACTTGACGAAGTTTCAATAAATCCATAATTAGGAATTTCCAACCATTTTTCGAAACTGGATGAAATATTAAAAAAATAATTCTCTCCAAATTTGTTATTAAAAGCTTCTTGGGGAGTTAAACAAGGGATGCCGCACAGTCACCAGCACAGCCATATATGAAATGGGATACGGTACTCTAGTTGAAAGGTGTAAACACCAATCATTGTACACTGTCACGTCAAACGGCATACGAGATCGAACTGTTCCCGACCACTTATTATTGTTGTCCGAAAAAAATTGGAGTTGGTATTTTTTGCAGTTTGAATACGGTAGGCACCTCGAAGCGGCAAGCCTAAATAGCACATATTCGGTGGAGACGCAGAGTAATTTTTTGTTCAACTGTCTGCGTCTCGACACCAATTTTTTCGCACAACAATAATAGCTCAGCTTGTGTGCGCAAAGTAAAACAGAGAAGTTTATAAAATGAAAATTGGACAACCTCAATGAAGAACCTGAAAAGTCCTTTTCTGAAAATTGAAACATACATACCATATTTCCTCTAATAATTCCTCTAATATTAGGTTGTTCGGAAAGTCCTTTCCATTTTTAGCGTCAGATACATTCAAAGTAAAATAGGTCAAAACGATGTCAGATAAATTGGATGTAATGACCATCGTTATCAATGACTATCTGCCAATGCCCCACTGAATTGTGGATGCCTTCCTTCCAGAACTCTGGTCACAGCGAGTTCAAAATCAAGTCAACCCATTTTTGATACGTTGTTTTGAAGTAAATTTTCGTCAATCAAGATGACGTTAGAAGTGGCTGGATGGGTAATAATCAGAAAGTAGAAGGTTAGAGCTATACAGTGAATAAGGCAGAATCGTCTAGACATATCCACCGAGATCGGCCTGGGTCTTCCTTCCCGCATGAGGTTGCTAATTTTAATTTTCAAAATAAACCTTTGCGTTCCTCTCCAATGGAGATCCACATAAAGTCTGACCCACTAGCAATGGTTTGATTCCAACATTCATGTGTGCAACGCAGGATGAGAAGATTCAAACAGGTGCCCACACATGAAACAAAGTTGCGTTAAGCCAAAAGATGGGGTCAATTTCTTCCCACTTTTTTGACTGCGCCGAGAGTTTTCAATCTACGGTTTTTTAACGAAAGGCTTGCCACTGATGTACTTCATATATCACACACAGTTGAGGCGGGTCTCTTTCTTTCCCCGCATTTAATGCATCCAAACCTAAGCCCATTTGCCTTTTGGAAGGAGGATTTTCGTCAAACAAGAATCCCCGTTTTTCAAATTACTGAATCCAGGTTGTGATGGTAGTTCGAATGGGTGCATTGTTAACCGCTACTAGTTGGCGATCGATTTCAGCTAATTTAAGATCAGATATAAAGACAATTAAAATGATAGTCCAAAAATGGAAATTAATAGAGCCGAAAACGGTGAGCATATCTCATTACACGAAAAGGGGGGAATGATCTCCGTTGGGGTGCAGACACTATTGGACCCCACCAAAATACCGATAAAACGGCAGCTTCCTCGCTTTTACCCCGTTCAAAAAAACAAAGTTTGAAAACAACAGATTATTTATTTTCAAAAAAAAGTTTACTCAAAAATTCAGAAATTTGACGATTCGGTAGTTAAGAATTCTGAAGTTCAGTGTTTTGGAAAATTCGAAGTTTTCATTCTGCAATTCTAAATTCCAAAATTCTGAATTTATGAAATTCTGAGATTCCAGGATCTCTAAAAGTTCAAAATTCAGGAAATTGCCGTCAATAGTCTCACATAAGTGCCGCTGTACGCAAAACTTTTCAATTGACAAACAGGAGAAAGACTGAATTTTGAATTTCAAGAAATTCATCTTTATTAAAATTATTTATTGAAGAGTTATTTTAAAGAATCATTGAGACCACAATAAGGAGAGTCACAGTTCCAACTTTAGCATAAGAAGCTCCATCAGTAATTTGAGTGAATTCTCGCTCGATACAGATCCAGCTCCACCACGAGCTGATGATTGAGCTTTCTGAACCGGAGCACACAGCCCATCATCGTTTTCGAATCCTTGACCACAAACAGATCCTGGCTCTCCTCTCGGAACATTCCATGACTCGCCATCACCTCTGAAAGCTCGCGCTATTGATAAGGTACCTTGAAATAGAGCGCCAAATTCATTAGAGGGCATACTCACTCCGGTGCCATGAGACAGTAGGAGTTGTATACCAACTTTTTGTATCCTTTCAATGTGAGATCTTTGTTCCGAATCGTTTTTCTCACGAACATCCAATTTTCTTCTGACCCGGAGTGAAATCCTCGTTTCCGTTCATAAAAGTGCCTTTATAGTCTTCAATTAGTTTTGCTCGTTTGTCATATCCAAATCGATATTTCACCATTTTTTGAGCATGTCTATTGGCTTCTGTATCGGGAGTTCTAAAGACAATTCGACAGGTTTTACCGTCGCAATTATGAGAGTTCGTTCTCACGGTTTCCTCGAGATAATCGTCCCAGAACTGCAAAAAAATTAGTTGAAAAGTCTAGAAGAATAGATTGAAATTATCAAACGGCTTAAAACAGATCAAACCAGCCAAGGATACTTTAAAACTTGTAATAGAATGGTTTCTTATCTTTCAGTAGATTTATCCCGGTTCCTGTGATAGATTTCAAAAAACTGTTAATTAACAAAACATTTATCACAATATCAGTAACATTTCGTTAGTTGACAGTTTTTTGGTATATCTCATAGGGAACGAGATGCATTTGGTTAAAGTTGACAGCTTAAGGTTTCAAAGAAGAACACCGTTTAGCGGCGCAACTTGCACTACCGTAGCTTAATGATAGCCAATTTTAAGTGTTCGTCAATGACACTTAATATTATTTAGGACCCCAGAGCTCACCAATTTATACATATTTGGGATACGAGCTTTCTTTGCATAGATTCTCCGTTCTTCATTCAACTCCTTCAGATACTCCTCTTTGTTGGCAATAACACCATTAGCAGTCACGTGGCTAAACACCAGAAGCAAGAAGACAAACGACTTCATTGGGAAGGCCCACTTAAATTTAAAAAATTGGGATCTCAGACTAAGCATTATCTAAATTTCCACACTTCGTCACGAATTTTCACGATATGAAGGTCGTTCAATGCGACAAAATGTGGCCGACATAACTTAAAATTGTTTTTTGTTGATTTTTTTTGATAATCTAATAGCGAGGCAGAGTATAGCTTAATACAGTATTAGAGTTTCGATATAGATGCTGTGAAGCCAGCTTTTTTGGAATTTTTTAGGTCCGTCGAATTTAACCTTATTTTGGAGCATGGTCTAGAACATGCTCCAAAGCTGTCGGGACATAGAGGCTGCCTGGGCATTAGTTAAGATCCGATTGTATGTTCTTTCAGAAATTAGCTCACATGGAATGACTCCCAAGTGTTACCCTCGAAGAAATCGAGAGCTATATGGTTGGATAGAGCGTAACAAGTTATTTTAGATTCCAAACGGAATAGTTGGAAACAATTTTTTTTGGGAGTTATGGTCCAAAAAGTACCAAAAAATGCCTAAATTTTCAAAAAATCATAACTTTGTCAGTTCATGTCCGTTTTTTGAAACTTAAAAAACAGTAGATAGACAATTAATTGAACATTTAAGAATATATATTTTAAATGTTTTTCCTATTTATTTTTCCTATGGAATATTGATTTTTTTAAAAACCCAAAAAAATTTTCGTATGATGAGGGGCATACTTGTTTTTGTGATTTTTATCTGCGTATCGTTTGCCTAGAGTGTTTGAAATAAAATCCTGCGACATACAAAGTCAATTTTTCAAATGCCGTACCATTTCTTAAAATCATCATCTTGAAAAAAGCAAAATTTTGACATGTGACAGGGCACATCTATAGTTATACTTGATAGAAACGGCCAAACTATTTTTTAAACATAATCAAAAGAATGTAATCTTATCAATGGCTTGAACAGAATTTCGATTTAGGCCCTAGAATCAAAAATATTTACGATTTTCCGAGCCTGACCCCTATTTTTGGTGAAGTGTGACATGTGACAGGGCACATCTATAGATAAACTTGATGGAAACAGCTAAACTTTTGCTTAAACATGATTAAAATGACAAAATCTTATCAACGGTTTGAACAGAATTTTTAATTAGGACCTAAAAATTAAAATATTCACTGATGATGGGACGCCTTTTGTTTTTGATCATAACTTGAGAACGAAAAAAAAATATCGAAAAACTGTTAACGCCATTTGATTTAAAATGAAACAATAACATAGAAAAAGTGGAATTAACTTGGTCCCTGTGATGAAAGTAGGTGAAATGAACGATTTCCGAAAGATATCCTTCCAGCTTCGGACAGCCGAAATCGACCTTTTTCCATTTCACCTATTTTCACGATACGAAACAAACCAATAACATTTGTCTAATAGTATTTTTCAAGTCGTTGATAAGATTACATTCTTCTGATTATGTTAAAAAAATAGTTTGGCCGTTTCTATCAAGTTTAACTATAGATGTGCCCTGTCACATGTCAAAATTTTGCTTTTTTCAAGATGATGATTTTAAGAAATGGTACGGCATTTGAAAAATTGACTTTGTATGTCGCAGGATTTTATTTCAAACACTCTAGGCAAACGATACGCAGATAAAAATCACAAAAACAAGTATGCCCCTCATCATACCGGCCGCCGAGGACAACGAATTCAAAGAAGCCAAGTACCAAAAATCGATATTTTTCGGCATAACTTGTGTGTGCATGATTTCCCCCGGGGTATTGATATGTTTCTATAGTAAATCAAATGTGCTGAATTCAATGGTCATAATGAAAAAAAAGTTAACCTAGGATTTTTGAGATATCGAAAATTTTTTTGGTTTTTTTAAAAAATCAATATTCCAATAAATAGGAAAAAAATTAAAAAATTATATTCTCAAATGTTCAATTAATTGTCTATCTACTGTTTTTTAAGTTCCAAAAAACGGACATGAACTGACAAAGTTATGATTTTTTGAAAATTTAGGCGTTTTTTGGTACTTTTTGGACCATAACTCCCAAAAACAATTTTTACCAACTATTCCGTTTGGAATCTAAAATAACTTTTTACGCTCTCTCCAACCATATAGGTCTCGATTTTTTTCGAGGGTAACACTTGGGAGTCATTTCATGGCAGACAATCAGAAACTTCTAGGACCTCTAGGTCGCCGAATCAAATTTATCACAATAGTACCCGAACCCGCCTTGCTAAATAAGATCATTTTTCGAAACAATAAATTAAAAATCCCACAAAATTATCTTCACATACTTTGCGATTTATAACTTTTCCTTTATTACAATTATCTATAGACACATTATTCTAAAAATCATAGAGATCACAAAAAGGAGAGCCACAGTTCCAACTTGATCATAAGAAGCTCCATCAGTAATTTGAGTGGAATTCTCGCTCGATTCGGATCCAGCTCCACTTCGTGCTGATGCCTTCTGAACCGGAGAACACAATCCATCATCGTTCACGAATCCTTTGTCACAAGCAGTTCCCACAAAAATAATACACAAAGCAAAACAGTGAACGATTTATTTAAGTGAAACAATTTTATCAAACAGCTCCTTCCAATCATCTGGACTGTAATCATGCGCATCTTGTGGTGATAAACCACTGAAATCGGTGTTCTTGCTGAGTCCCGAATAACATTTCACCTGAAAAAATTTTAAAAATTAAAACCAATTTGGAGTGTATAACAATTTTGGGGACTTTTTTTTCATATGAGGATTATAGTGATCTAACTTTCTCCACAAGATTTTTCTAGGTAATCTTACTATTAGTTAAAGATCCGAAAATGACCAGACATGCAGCTGGTGTTTCTTCTAGGCCATTCACTATGGTTGCCTAACTTTAGCGAATTGAGATTTCTAGGCCACCAAAGTTTATGGTACAAAAATAGCGTAACATTCAACTTGTGTTTTCTAGGCCAGTTACGATGATGACCTAATTTTTAAGAGTTGTGGTTTCTAGGCCACCAATTTTTAAGACCAAGTAATGGCCTCATTATATCATTGTTTGTTTTCTAGCCCACTTTTAAATGATGGCCTAACTTTTGCAAGTTGTGTTTTCTAGACCACCATGATGTATTGCTTAGAAAATTTTAAGTAGAAAAAACGAACCTTCAATTTTTCCATTTTATACTTGAGTGCCGTTTGGAACTTGAATTCGAATGGTTGATGAGACCGGAAAAAAAGGAATTCCTCGCATCTGTCGATTGCAGTTTGACAATTGAAAAAGTCGGCCAATTTCAAAAGTTCCGAGATTTTTTCGTCTGAAAATATTGATTTTTTTTGGAAGTTTTTTGGAATTTCAAAACTTCAAAGTTATGTAAACATTAAAACATTTTTTTTTCTGAGATTGTGGAGTTTTAGATAATCATAATTGTTTTTATGACATTCAGGTTTTTTGAAATTTCAAAAATTGTCTGAAAATTGTGATTTTTTGAAAATTTGTCAAATTCCGAGAAAAACAAACTTTTCCAGAACTTTGAAGTTTCATACAATTAGATTTGTAGAAAAGCCCGTTTGGATGAAAATTACAAATTTCTGAAAAAATCGAAATTGGTTAAATTTCGAAAACTGCATTTTCACAAATTTCGAATTTTCGAATTTCTAATTTCCTTACCTTCAACCACTGAAATTCCATAAACAAGCTCCAAAAACATTTGAAAAACATTCGGATCGATATCCTTCAATTCGATTTCCGACTTTCCAGATTCCGAGAAGTTTCCATTAAAAAGAGATTTGAAATATGTCGAATGAAAACTGAGCAACATTTTGGAGACGAAAAACTTCTGGTCCCCAACCACCAAAACGACATCCGACGACTCTTATGCCACGTCATCAGAAATTTTTTTAGATTCAATCTGCATGATTCCAGTCGTTTCACTGATTCTCACTCGAACTTCCACTGTTGCCGTTTTATTGATTTCATAGTTTGAAAATTCGTTTTTCGAAATGTGTATTGAAGAAAAATTCTTCTCATCTTGAGTGAACAAATATGATTCAGTTCGGAATGATTGTCCCCCAACGAGTATATCGAAATTGGTTTCAATTGACCAATCATGAGATTGGAATTTCTCGCAGTTCAGTCCAATGTCTAGATCACCATCTAGATACTTGTACAATTTCACAGCCCTTAAATAAGACTTTTGACTTAATTCGAGGTTAAGGGTCTCAAGAAATTATAAGGAGGCGAGGCATGAGAATTGAGCTCACAACTTCAACTCGTCAAGGGGCTTACCTACAGTACCGGTCAATGAGATATACAAGAACTATTTTTCAGTAGATTTTCGGCAATTTCGATCATTTCAGGAGTCATTAAAAACTTTGCACGGATTTTTTGAAATCTCCTAGTTTTTCAGCTATTTGCCGATTTCTGAAAAACAACTGCTTTTCCACGTTTTTCAGTACAATAGCGAGCCAAAAAAGGTGTACGTCTGAAATCGGAAAATTGCTGAAAAGCTAGAAACTTTCGAAAAGTTTTGTAAATGCAAAGTTCCCAGTGTGGATCTGATTCACACCCTCCAAAATTTTTAAAAGGATTGGAAACTTGACAGACTAGTTCCAGACTCCTGAAAATGGTCGAAACAACTTTTCTGGACTATTAATCTGGTATAGGGCGATTTTTTTGAATTTCAAATAGTAAATTTTACCAAAAAGCACCGAAATGTTTCTCCACATTCCCAACCATTTCATTTTGTTTAGCCAATCCATCGATATTCTTGAAGACGTGCGTGATCCCAAAATTTTTCTCTTCGGTAGTTGACATTTTGGAACTGCAAATACATATTTGTGCAAAATTTTGAAATTCCTGAAGTTTCTAAATATATTTCGTATCCAAAACGTTTTTAAATTTTCCAATTCTTGAAATTCCGAAACTGGGATTTCTGAAATTTCAAACTTTTGTGTTTCTGAAGTTAGGTTTTTTATTATTTTGGAGTTTCGAAAACTGAAATTCCTGAAACAATAAAATTGTAATAAAATTTCAATAAAGACATTTCGAAACTTTTTTCTCAATACTTGATTTCAAAAATTTCAACTTATGGAATTTCTGGGATTAGAAAAATTTTGAATTTCAGGATTTGTGGTATACTTGAAAAATTTAGTTTTTGAGTTTTTGAAATTGCTGAACTTTTGAAAATATTCTCGATTTTCCCAATTTCTCGAAATTCTATAAATTCTGAATTTTTAAAAATTTCAAACTTTTGTATTTTCCGAATTTTGCATTTTCCAATTTTTGAATGTTCCGTATTATTGAATTTTTTAACCTTGAATTTCTAGATATTTGGAATTCTTCTAAAATTTTCAAATTTTCCGATTTTCTTGAGAATTTCTAAGTAAGTACTCACCTCAAAATTTAGTCAAGTTGTAGGAAAGTTGAAACAGAGAA